GTATTTTGGGGTATCTTTAAATTGATGACCTGTGGGGGCTTTTAAAGCGTCTTCTATGGACTTTTTGGGGTACTGGGGTTTTTCGCCGTTTTACGGATGCATGCAATTTGTAACCTGGGCATGTTGGGTATCGTTTTACTCGTTGTAACCTCATCTTTTATATTTCATTAAAAAAAATGGGTATTGTGTTTTGGGGCATTTAATTAAATTTTTCACTAAATATTGGGGTTTAATAAGGAGTTGCGCTAATATTGCGCAACATAAAAATTTGCAACTACCACCATTTTATTCTATAGGGTCTTGGCATTCAGAAAATATATAATGTTGGGGGGTTTTAAGTAATTTTCAGGCCTAAAATGTGGAATATAACATGGGTACAAAAAATGAAAAAAAGGCCTCAGTCACGAAGGCGTTAAAGGAGTTCCTCACCCAATCCCATTTAGTAATGTGTGAATATTCCATGCTTATGTTCTTCCTTTTCTACGCACTCGCCATTTAAGTATCACACTGTGCATTCTGTACACTGTGCCACATAATCACTATGATACCCAGGAGTGCTAAGGCATCTGTTCACATGATCAGTTTCTCATATTAATCAATCGGCTGCTTGGCTTTACTGAAAGATATTAACTATGGTCTTTCTAAAAAAAAAAAAAAAAATCCCCAATGGTAGAAGTTTTTAATCATGAAGGTCATTTGTTTCGATGGCTTTTGTGGAGAACGTATACATAATAAGGGGAATTTATCAAAATCTGGAGCAGCTGTGCATGGCACCAATCAGCTTCATCTCCAATTTGTTGAGTTAAGATTTGAAAATGAAATGGAGAAGCTGATTGGTTGCCATTCATGGCTGCTCCAGATTTTGCTCTGCTCCAGTTTTGATAATTTCCCCCCAAATGTGTTTTTGTAAGGAGTTGATTACAGCTGAATTTAAACTGTTTCAAATGCGTTGCAGCATGCTTGCTAACACACACGTAAAAATGTGAATGGGCCTATAGAGTTTCCATTTCCAAAATATTTTTAGCTGCAGCGAATATGCATGAGCTAGACACATAGGAGAGGAGTGGATTTTTACTGGAAATCTATTTTTGCAGTAAAATGCATGAAAGCAGACAAGTGTGATTAGGCCTTTTATCAACCTCTTGGCATAAAAATACACAGCCTATGGCGCAGTAGGTAATGCTTCCAAACATTTGGTTTTTTTCCTTGCACAGATTTTTATTTTGGGGGGGGGGGGCAAATGTGTGTGACTGTCTGTTTACATCTGCCATGGCCAAAATGGAAAGCAGGTGGTTCAAGCACAACTTTGTGTTTTAAGCAGGGCAGATATCTTGCTACCTGTCATTCTTGGTGACACATTTTCCTGTTAGCCGGTGTTTAGTGATACTAATTGAATTACTGAAGTATAATGTTGTCTTTAATGGTATGGCAGAATTAACAGCATTGAAGCTGGACCATTACTAAACGGCTATTTCCCTGCTCTGTTCTAGGACTGTGTACGTTTTAGCAGATGTGATGGACGAGCAGCTGAAGTCTTTGTCATTTTCACCATTCCAGCCAGACGAAGCAGATGTGGACCTAGACATGGTACCGACCTCTCCATTTTATAGTATACATTTGACGTTATTTCTCTTCCATTATATTCAGATATTTTATTATGAAAGTACAACATTGAATAACATTATCTACACTCATAGTGGGTATACTAGATCCTTTGTAGAAAGGTTTATATGTTGTTCTTGGCGGCTATTGTCAGATTTTCTATAAAAGAAGCAAGAACAATTGGCGGTGTAGCCCAGAGCGGCCAGGGTCCCCATCGTCATTTTTAAAGAGAGCCAGTCATTATCGATCTTATTAATATGAATATTCCATCTTAGATCATTACAGCTGTGCAGAATTAGACATTAAAAGGTTTATATTCCCTCCCCCTTCACTTTCTTTCGAGCCAAACTCTTTAGCTTATAACAGGAAGTCTAACATCCAAACCCCCACAAGAGAGCATTATAGTGTCAGGTAACAGAGGCCTACATTTGTTTACATTGTACTTATTATTTGGCTTTATTGTGCACACTCTGGACTTGGGAGACCTATGAGGTTAAGCAGCAAAAAGGGTCACAATGGTCCTACTTCAGGTGAGCCACTGACTTGTGACACTCAAGCTGAAGTGTCAGGCTCTTAAAGGTAAAGCTTGCACTAAAATGACATTTGCAAGAACCTTGAATAATCTCACCCACCTCTGCAGTCCAGTACTGAGTCTTTGCTAAATATATTTTATTACAGATGAAAGTTGATTTGATCGACCTTTCTGCCAAATGCTGCTGTGACTTTGACCTAAAAGCGGAACTGGAGAAATCCTTTTTGTTGGAGCCATCATCTCCCGGAAGGACAAAGGCCACTAAAGGGTTTAAACTAGGAAAGCACAAACATGAGACCTTTATTACAAGGTAAGCATTTCTTTGTTTCTTTCTGCTAGTCCAGGGGTAGGCAACCTCGGCTCTCCAGCTGTACTAAAACTACAAATCCCATAAGGCATTGCAAGCCACAGGCATGACTCCCACAGGCAGAAGCATGATGGGATTTGTAGCTTCAGCACAGCTGGAGAGCCATGGTTGCCTACCCCTGTGCTAATCTGACTTAAACAGATATTATTTTTATTTTTTTAGAACAATAAAATGCAAAAAAATGAATTCCCGGCAAACTTACCAGCTAGTCATCTCAAAACTGTTTCAACAATTTATGTTCAAAACGGAGCTTTTTTTTTTTTCTTGCATAAATCTGCAAATACGCCAAGGCTCCTCTGTGCTGTTCTGAACTTTAGTATAACAGAGCTTCCATCTTGTGACACACATGGTAATTAATACATTGAGAGCAGGATTGTTTGCTTTGGAGATTGCCCTTTCCTCCTCAAAGGTGCAGAGGCACATTAGAAACATAAACTTTCTCAATCCCCAGTGTGTATCTGCACAAAACTCAACAAGCAAAGTAAAAATGACAACTGCAGATCAGTTTAGAATTAGCATAGATACTGTGCGCATGGGCAGTGCCATCCACAGAACAATACAATACAAACATGTCATCGGCACACTTGCCAGCTAGTCGGCACAAAAACAAAGTCGAAATAGTTTCAATATTTGCATTAAAAGCTGAGGTTTGTAGCATATATTTGTAAGTATATGTGAAACCATACTGCCGAACCAAGGTATTTCTTCAAACTGTGTTCTCTAAGGCTGGGTTCACACCTGGGCGTACGGAATATGCGCGTTTCCGAGGGCTATCCGGCTGTATCCTAACACGCTGAAAATACGTCCCAAAGAAGCTCCTGTACTTCTTTGGGCGTAGGGCGTTTTTCAGCGCGTTCCTACTCGCTGAAATACTCCCTGGTGGGAACAATGCCCATAGGCAATCATTGGTTTTCACATGTTGAGCGGTTTTTTGGTTTTCACATGTTGAGCGTTTTACAGCGCGTAGGAACGCGCTGTAAAACGCCCAGGTGTGAACCAGGCCTAAATCTAATCTGACAGAGTGCACGTCTTGGGACATACAGTATGTATAGCAATGAATACATTGAGAGCAGGTATGCCTTGGAGGTGGCACCAAAAGCCAAGTTTTTTCCATTTGAACTCTGTGGCTGTTTGGCTATAAACTCCATCCTGACATTCATTGTCTCTGTAACTGCTGTGCTAACTAAATCTCTGGCGTTTGCGGCATGTTTACCTTCTAAACAGGCCTGACCAATGTGTTTCATGATCCCAACATAGCCCTCTCTCTGAGCCCGTTGCTGCATGCATGTGGTATAATGGGGTAGTGTAGTTATAAAGTATAAATCTATTTCCGTGCAGAGGAAAGGCATATGTAGAATGCGATCTTCAGGCAATATCCAGGCAACCTTGGTTCTTTTCCAGAGAGCATAGCTTTTATGGGATCCCAGAAACAAATGAACAGTCCAACAGAGAATATTGATCAGAAATAGTAGCCCTGTGAGTCCCTTTCTATATATACATAACTTACAACAGATGGGTGTCTGCAGTCCCATAAAGAACAGTGAGAGAACCCTGATACGTTAAGGTTTAATGGAATATATAAAACTACAAAGTATTTTTATGCTTACTTTTTTTTGGGGGGGTTTTGTTTGATTGTAACTTTAACATCAACTTTGTGCAGTCATATAATCTGTGCATGTACCTAAGAATGATCAATAAAAGATCTTTTCACCCATTATGTTGTAAAGGTCATGAAGATTGACATTGAGCATATTGGAGTTAATGTATTAGGGCAGGGGTGGGCAACTCTGGCCCTCCAGCTGTTTTGGAACTGCAATCCCTTGAGGCATTGCAAGACTGTTATAGGCATGACTCTGTGTCACGAAGGGATTTGTAGTTTAAGCACAGCTGAAGGGCCGAAGTTGCCCACTCCTGTATTGGGGTAATCGCATTCCAATTAAGAGGGTGAGGAAACTCACATGCGTCTAGGCAAGAAATCACAAACTCCAAATGTTATCGAATTTAGCAGCCAAAGTAAATTTTAACGTGCTTTCAGTTTTAATTGCAATTACCATGTCTCTTTTATAACATTAAGGGGTATACTTTATTTGTTGCCCTGACCTCCCCTTTAAAGTTGAATTTTTACGTGATCTGTGATCAATGTTATGCCAGAGAGAGATAAACAAGTCTGTCTTTTTTTTTTTTTTTATCACAGCGGCAGGTCTGAATATATTGAACCAGCAAAGAGAGCCCACTTTGTGCCTCTTCCCCGTGGGAGGGGCAGGGGTGGATTTGGGCAGGGTATGCGCCCCCATGACCTTTTTCGCCAGAGGAAACAGAATACAAGCCGTCCTCCATCTATGCACGTGGATGATTTTGTGGCAGCTGAACGTAAAGAAGTGCCTCCAGCTGGAATCCAGCCTCCGAAGCGGCCTCCGAAAGCAACGCAAAAGGTGTCCTCAAGAGGTGGTTTTCTAGGGAATCGTGGTGGCAGAGGGGCTTTCCATAGTCAGAGCAGATTCTTTACACCGCCTGCTCCTAAAGGTAGGTCTTACATGGAAGCTACACTTACTAACGTTGACTAGCATTGATACTTTATCAGTTAGAAAAGAGACTTTGACATTTTAATGTTTGTTAGATTAGTCTTTTTTCTAACTCATGGTGTCTGTTTTGTTTGTAGTAAACTACAGTCGTCGAGAGGGAGTCCGGGTAATAAACTGGCCTACCCAGACTCCTCCAAGAGCCACCTATGTGGAAAGCAGAGGAGCACAAAGCAACTTTGACAGAGGACCATTGCCCCCTCTGCGACAGAGCTCTGCAGGTTAGTAGCCACTGTAGGTTCACTGGTATTTCAAATATATTCATTCTTACGCTGGGCACTGAAAAAATGTATTTCTCTTCCATTAGGATACCGTCCAAATCCACGTGAACGAGCTGCCAGGGGCCGTGGGGGGCTAGGCCCATCATGGACTAATGCAGCAGGCAGTGGAAACGCTTCCCGTGGAAAGTTTTTGGGGGGAAATGGCAGCAGAGGACGTCACGTACGCTCCTTCACTAGATAGGAGGCGATCTGCTGGACATCTTTATTTATGTGAATATTTTCTGATATTGTTGGCACATGCAGCACTGAAGGACCAATGAGCAAAGTGATTTGATACTGTGGCATTTTGCTTAGCGGATCTAAAGAAAGCAGATGTATTTTGATACAAATGCTCAGAGTCAAAGTGTAAAACATTTTATTTTTATGTACAGTATAGTAATTTTTCTGTGTTTTTGTCTTTTTTCTTTTGGAGCATTTTTTTAAATAAAATTCTAAATCCACAATTATTTTTTTCTGTGACATTTTAAGAAGACCTAGAATGACACATGTAGGTTGGCATTCCTAAACTTCAAGAAATACTAGATGTCATGTTGAGCAAATTTATTGAAAAGCAACGGTGTCCAATGTTACTAAGGCAAGATGTACCTGTGAAGGGAGATTGGTAATACTCAACGTTTCCTGCTGCCCGCACCTCCATACGCTGCTTTGATTCTGAGAAATCTGCAAAATCTGCAGGGATTCTCGCACTTCTGGGAATGTTGATGCCCTGCCTCGTCCGCAGCTGGAAAACTGAAGGCCAGCCCCCTGGAGGCTATTACCTCTCTCACCACACACCTGCCTAGTTGTAGCAAACAGTCCAAAGAGAAAATGATAGCATAGGAGAGGAGGAAGCTGTGTCCTTCAATGGACTCCAAGGATATCCTATTTTATTACCTGTTACAAGGGATCACAGTGCTCCCCCTGACCATGCTTTCATCTGCCTTACTTTCCAGCAGGATGGCTCCATCTTTCTTCAGGCATCGTCCAGAGCCCGCATCTACTTCCTGGACTAAGATGGCAGCTTGGAGATGATGCAATCATGGAGATTTTGGTGCCTGTGTAGTCCTTGGTGGTGTTTTACACGCGTCTTACATATATCAACACTCAGTTGCAGACTCATTTGTAAGTTGTTTCAAAGTACGACAGTTGCAATCTAATCACTGGAGAAGAGGAGACTGCCTAGGAAGAAATTATATGGCCAGCATTTTCTCAGTTACTTGACTGGAGCTCAAATATTGCTTTTAAATGATGAAAGGTAGAGCTTTATATGAAAACAATACTGTTGCTGTATATTAACACATGTCAGAGAATATATTCATGTATACAAATATTAGGAGTCATCATGGAAACAAGGACACCACACCCCTAAATTAAATACTATATCTACACAAAAAAAATGAATGGGGCTTTTAAGGTGACAACTGGTGAATGCAGAGTGATTACACTGAACAAAACATCACACAGATCATGTGTTTTTAGTAAAATATAAATATAGTAAATTTATTATCGACATACAGATAAATGAATGGATGTTTTTTTATGATTAAGAACAATGGTACTACATGGAACCTCCCTGGAACCATAGAGATTTGGATTATAACATCATTGTTACTGGTTTGCAAGTACAAGCACGTCCTGCCATCTTTTACTCTCTCCATCTTCCTTGTATCCCAGCTGACTAGAGGGGGCCCCCCGAAGATGTGTATCCATTAATCAGACAATCTAAAAATGGTATTTAATCATGTATGTACTTATGTTATGTATGGTTTATTAAAGGAGAACTATGGGGTTAGGGCTTTTCCCCATAGTTCTCCTTAGGGTAACGGGAGGACACAAACTAGCATCCTCCAGTTACCCTAAGCTCAGTATACTCGCGGTATATTGAGACGCCGCAGCTGAAGCGGATCCCGACAATTATGTCTGGATCCGTCCAGCTGCGTGAGTGACAGCTGGCTCTGCCTATCTAGAGGCAGTGCCAGCTGAACCCGCCCCGTCCGTTCCGCCAGTCAGCGCTGGAGGATCGGAGCGGGGAAGGGGGAATCCAGCCCCTCCCCTGTCACGGCTCTCTGCAGTGACGGGATCGAGAAGTGAGCGAACGCCGGTATGTGTTCGCTCAGTTCCCGATCTACTGAGCCGACTTGTGACAGTTTCATCGTCACAAGTCGGCTAGAACTATGAGTGAAAATCACTCACCTCATAGTTCTCCTTTAAGCGAAATTACTGATGATATGGTTATATGTTTGCCTATTATCATATCCATGTAAATACTATAGGCTACCTCCAAAAAACTTCCTGATGAAGCCCTGGCGAAACACGTAGAAGTCTGGACAAAGTACAGAATGACAGATTTACTGACTAAAATGATTATGTATAAATTGAAGAAATTGTTTATAAGGAAAGTGATGATAAAATAATGGATCTTATGGAAATATGTATGTTTATCTGTACTGGTTCCAGGAAGGTTCTATGTAGTACCATTGTTCTTAATCATAAATGAATGGATATGTTTTTTTATCTGTCCATAATAAATTTACTATAATGATATTTTACTAAAAACACATCTATGTGATATTGTGTTCAGTGTTATCCCTCTGCATTCACCAGTTGTCACTTTAAAAGCCCCATTCATTTTTTTTGTGTAGAAAGGGAATATATTCAGCCAGAATTCCTGATGGGTCCACATATAGTACCTGAATCTGTCTTGATATCCGCCTCCTGTAAGGAAGTGGGACTAAGGCATTGGCTACACTGCATTTTTCAGTGTGCTGCCTTTTTGTCCAGCTCACTGCTGCAGTTTGCATGTCACTGTACATTGCAGTAAAATCTGTGCAAATATGTTAAAATGGCCTAAATAATATTACTGAAGTAGTATTTTCAACTGGATAAGGAGTTATTCCTTCTTCTCAGCTGACTTCTGCTTGCTCTGTAGTTCACAGGTTCCATGTCACAAGTAGTAAGACTTGTATACAGCATATTTATTTTTTAACAAAATGATCATGAAATACATACAGGTGCTTTCATTGCATTTTGGGAATTCAGTGCAAAAGGTTTTATATTTATAAATCACTACCAATTAAATTATTATTTTTCTACCAACTTTAAAAAAAAAAGATCTAGACTTAGTGGTGTATTTATAACAAAATGCAGAGCTGGTCGTTCTACTAAACTGTTTGTACATTTGTGCAGTGCTAATGTGGCAAAGCAAATGTTTGTATATAGTTACAGTGAGACTAGACTAAAAATGTCATCTTGGAAATGCATTCAAGTATCTTAATTCTTAACAAAAATGTATCTTATTTGTATATCACTCGGTTGTAGATACTCAAATCATCTCTGAATTGGTGCCGACACTGTCCTTCCTTCTGGATGAGTGGCTACTTTTGTCCCCTGTGGTCCCTGTGTGTTGTAAAGTAGCCACTGCTCCAAGCTCACTCCCGTGATGGACTACACTTTTAGTTTACTACTCTGTATTGAGTTTGTGGGGAAAACTGCAGATTTTTTTATTTTGCTAAAATGCATTTTTTTTTACCAATCTTTAGAGTAGATTTTTAGTCCCAAAGTCAGAAATGGGTTTATACACACGTGATAAATAAAAAGCCTTTCCTTTATTTTGACAAACTGGGCTTCTCTTGTAGCTTTGGTACAGTTCTTTAATCAATTCCCCCTGCCCCCTGAGTACAGCCAACCAGCTCAGACTTACCTTCCTCCACCAATCATCGCTGTGCATCCCTGCCTGGTTCTGCACAGCCTTTCCCAAAAAATACTTTTCTCAGTGCAATGTGCACCATGACCCTATTCTTTCCTATTGGTAAGCTGTACTCAGCTGGACCGCAATATACCACCATGAGTGCAGATTACCCGTAGCAATGAATTGTGCTGTTGCTGACATGCACAAGCAGCAGGACCCAAACCCAACAGGGACATTTTTAGCTGGAAAGGCTTGTGGTGCAAGGAGGAAGGTACATGTGTGCAAGTGGGCTGCACTTTGGGTGGGGGGAATTAATTAAAGGACAATTGTACCAAAGATACAGTTGTTCTTTGAAGCTGTGTTCATACCTATGTATTCTGATTGTAGTGCTTCTTAATGTGCATTGTAACGCGCCTTCATTTTAAAAAGCATTTCATATGCTTCCATTGAGTTGTGTTGTGTATAAATGCATAGGTGTGAACCCAGCCTAAAACATGACTTTAAGGATGATTTATTGCACATTTGCCATTCCAACAGCAATGATGTTACTAAAACAAGCTAGGGGGAATTTATCAAAACTGGAGCAGACAGAATCTGGAACAGTTGCCCATAGCAACCAATCGGCTTCTCTTTCATTTTCAAAACTTAACTGAAGAGAGAAGCTGATTGGTTCCCATGGGCAACTGCTCCAGATTCTGTCTGCTCCAGTTTTGATAAATCCCATCCACTGTACTATGCCAAGGGACAGTTAAAATCAAACAATTCTCTTAAAGGAAATATGTGCCAAAAGAAATACTGCAACTGCATTGCTGAGCCCCTTTCAAATAAGGAATTCTAACTGATCTGGAACAGACAGGCAGCCATTAGTACAGCAGAAGTACCAAAGTAATAGAATTTCTTACATGCGTCTCTTGTCTGGATCCTTTGGCAGTCAAAATAGTAAATGTAAATTAATTTCAATTGTGTATATTGCTGTTTGCCTGGAGCTGTTTGACGTGCCACACTTTCCCATCATCTGATTATATACTAAGGGACTACTCCCACCAGCCTATATACAACTCTAAAGAAAAGAAAAAAAAGTTGTGTGACTAAATACTTTAATATTTCAGTCATTCATTCTTTGTACTTAGCAGAATAACGACTATAGTGACTAAAACAACGTGCAACTTTCAATCCTAATTTGTGTGGGATGAGAGCCACTGGTGTTCAGTGGACTCATCTGCAAATAACTCCCTTTTTGAGATATGCGGCTTCATCCTGTTCTCCCGCTGTATAAACGGTTAGGCAACTTTTTTACCGCGAATCACGTGACAAACGTGCATATTCGATACGCCTAGGTGTGAACCCAGCCTAAGGTCTCGTTCACACCTAGTCGTATTGCATATGCGCGTCTGTCGCTCGTTTTTTACTGCGATTCGCGGTAAAAAAGTTGCGCGACAAACACGCGTTTCCGAAGGCTACTTGGCTGTATCCCAATGGAAACGCGCAACAAAACGGCCCAAAGTAGTACCTGTACCTTTTCAGGCGTGGGCCGTTTTGTAGCGCGTTAGGGACGGGTGGAAATACGCCAAGGTGGGAACGAGACCATTGAATACAATGGGATTTATATTTTTGAGCGTTTTGTAGAGCGTTCGTCGAGCGTAGAACGTGCTACAAAACGTTCAGGTGTGAACGAGGGCTAAGAGACTATATACCCCCTTGATTAATTCCAGCTGGAATCATCAATGATCCGGGAAGAAAAGTAGATGTTTATTAAGGGCCATGCTGTGATTAAATGCTCTCTAGCATCAGAAGTCTCATTTTTCCAGTTGTAGCCTCTTGTGGACTTTGAATATATGAGGAATACATGTTTTACTGAATTACCGCCATCCACTATATTGAACATTTTGTCTTGAATAATGAGCTGGACCCAGAGTTAGTGTGGGCAAGAGTGGACTGACCTGGAGCGCCATTCTATTCTATAGGGTACTTCTGAGTTACTAATGGTTGCATTCCTGTTCGGGATCTAAGTCTAAATTCCTTACAAGCATATATTTTCAGGAAAGTGACTTGGGAAGTATTGATGACCGCGTGACAAGCAATTAGAACCTTTAAAAGAATGTTTTGCAATATACTGGTCCCTTAGAATGGAAGCAGGTGTGAAACTTTAAAACACAGCTCCAGGCAACTGCAATCTACACAATTGAAATTCATGCACATTTCCTATTTGGTTTGGCAAAGGATCCAGACAAGAGACGCATGTAAGAAATTAATATTTCTGGTTCAGCATGTCCGCTTCCTATATCCGCTCCTTGCTTCCAGTTTCCTCAGTGGACAGTGAATCTGCATCATCGCCTCTGTCTATTGACAAGGGAGTAGTCCTGCTACAAATGCTAAACCAGAAAGCAGCAGAGTGATTTACTGGCTAGCAGAGGTGAATATCACTATAATAGCTGGCCAAGATGGCAAATTATTTGGCAGGTTAAATAGTAAACTTGAGTATTTCTTCTTTTTCTGGAGTTCTACTCCAATATTATCAAACTGCAAGCATATAAAAATGTTCAAGAGATTACCAATGGTCCTATTTGCTGCCTTTGCCTATATAGCAGCAAAAAAATATAGATTGTGCGTTACTATTTACATACATACTTGTGAATTATGTTGACTATTTCACATATCATTTGTAACATAATGGTTTTAGGCATTGTCCTCTAATCTTTGTGGCTAGATATGCCATTCCCTGTGGCATATCTAATCAATGGAAATGTCATATTTTTATGTCCCAAAACAGTGGCATGCTGGCAGAAGACAAATGCTGAACATACACTTTAAAATGGATGAGCAGTGCTGCTATTAAAATAAACTATAGATAGCAAATTAAGGCCCCATTCACACCAGGGCGGGTGCGGATCAGCGCAATTCCGCACGATCTTTAAAAAGGTGTTTTTTGGCGTTTTGAATTGTGTTTCAGAGCTGAAGCGCAATTAAAAACTCCCAAAACCGCACTGATCAGCGCGGTCCCATTGAAAGCTGTATGAAAAACCGTGCTGATCAGTGTGGGAAAAAAGCTCAGGGAGCAATTCAGGCGGGAGGCGGATCGGATCGCGCATACCCGCTGAACGGTCCCCATAGCAATGTATGGGATTGTTCATGATGGCGGATCCGCGTGGCCAAACCACCCCGGTGTGAACGGGGGCCTCAGATAACAGTGACGTCCCTGGGTTTTCTCTTTATACTTTCTAAATGCGTTAGTGGGCGACTGTTAGGTGGTTTTTGCGTATCATCATTTCTTGATCTGCAGTCTCGCTGTAAACTTTTAAGAAGTTCCATCAGTTCCCGTTTTTCCAGGTCTGCCTGCTCCAAGTCCTGCCGATGCTGTCTTTCTGAAGCCATGAGAGTCCGCACATCAGACATCATTCGTGACATCTGACTCTGCCAAGACAAACCACAATGTGTCATACACTTCTGTAGATTTACCAAAGCACTGGTAATACTTTGATAGCAGTAATTATCCCGAAGAAATGACAGCATTGAATGTATTCAGTGGGCCCCATGAGTGTTCATAATTTGCATCCTCTAGAATTTGGTGAAGTTCTGTCCCCCTCCCCACCACTCACAAATCTATGTATTTTAACAGCTGGTCTCAGACAACAGGGCTTCATTTCCCTTGTCTCCGGGCCACCTCCCACTCTACATCGGAATTTCAGGATCTTTTTACGCCAGCACGCATGTTTGGAGCCTGCATTTGATTAATGTGACTGGTTGGTTGGTGTTGTCCGACTTTGGGGATTGAGCAGTGTATACTTTGAAATTCAATGATTGTACAAGTATGGTTGCTTGAATGGAGAGTTCACAGTCTGAGCTCTGAGTATTTGATGTGATCATATTACAAAGCCCTCTTTAAAGTGAAACTCCAGACAAAGAGCTTAATGCATTATTTAAATATATATTTCTTTTACCTGCCAAAGAATATGTCATTTTGGTCAGCCATTCTTGTAATACACTCATCTCTCCTAGTCAGTAAGATCGCTGTTGCCTCTTAGGTCAGCTTCCTCAGTGGACATGGGTGATTAAGCTGACTCCAATGAAGAGACTGGAGACGGACTGGTGACACAACAAGCTGAATTGCTGAACCAGGAAGAATGAATTGCTGAACCAGGATCTACATGTGTCACCAGTCTAACTATGCAGTCATACTACAAACTGGATGGACACTTATGGTGAATAAAAGATGTAGATGATCTAAATCTCCGGGTAGGCGACGACTTTACAAACATTTCTGGCGGTTTTCCTACTAAAACTACTGGTCACAGCCATATATGTGGAGGCCCAACTGATTTCTACATCTACACTCTTATACCTTTGTACAAGCTCCTTTACAACATACGTCCTGGATTGGGGATGATTCTGGTTGTGTGTGCCTGGACGCTCACCTGGTTGATCGGTTGCATCGCTCCTCCCATCTGTGTGATGATTTAATTTCATTTTCTATCTATTTTTGAGCCATGATGTAAGAGCAATTTGTGAACTATATGCCCATAAGCTCCTGAAGAAGCGGTGGTATCGTGAAACATCTAGAGCAAGATTTGAGCACCTCCCCATGGAAAAATATCATTAGTATATAACCATGATAATTATAGATATCGCATAGAAATTACTTGGTTAAAGGGGTTCTAAAGCCTCCGGGTTTTTTTTGCCTATATCTACTGCTAGCATGCAGCAGATATAGGCAAAAAGTTTTTTTTTAATTTAAACCCGCTTTAACAGCGGTTTAAACTTACCTCGTTATCGCTGCGCGCTCCGGCGCCGAGAATCAGGAACTGCTCGTGCGGCCGCAAAGGATCTATGGGCATGCGCAGTTTGGATTCTCGGCCGGGAGACGAGCAGAGATGCAAGGTAAGTCTATGGACGCGTGCACCCGCATGCAGACACCGCTGGATCAGAAGTGCCAGCAAACAGGGAGGAGTCAGCGCTGGATCGGAAGTGCCTGCAAGCAGGGAGGAGTCAGCGCTGGATCAGAGAGCTGCCGCACCGGTGGAGGGACAGATGAAAACATCAGGAAAGAAGAAGATCGGAAAATAAGAGGCATCATTTAAGATAAGTGCTTTCATTAACATGGGGCGAAATTACTTTAATGTCACTTTAACTATTTATTGTATACCAGTTGAGGAGGTGCAGGTTCATGATAGGCATACAACCTCACAGTTTTGTAAATAAGACTATACATGTTGATGATTTTAACCTTACTATATATTTTTAACAAGCAATGTACACAATAAAAAATATTTTTTTCTATATAAATTGAAGTGGTCATGGTACTGCCTAAAAAGTCTGTTTTCTTCTGTTCTTTCTTATCCATAGCTATGCAGTGTGGAAAATATAAGTAAATCACAATGGGCTATACAGAATTACAAATCCTTTGTCAGGTAAAACAGTGACATAAAAGAATTTCAGTTGTGTATTTGACTGTTTGGTCACATTTTCATTCTAAAGTTTTATGTTTTCTAAAGTTAGTATGACGTGGAAACATACCTTGAGCTCTTCCATTTCACCCTGAAGAACTCCCTCTTTCTGCACCATGTGTCTTCTCTGGGAGTCCAGCCTGGATTCCATCTCCTGCTTTGTTTCCTCAACTCTGCAGATCATTTCAGACCTAGTGAAAACAATGTCAATGGAGTACTAGGGGTGGCACACAAAGAGTTTTCATTTATCTTCATATCTGAAGTCTGTGGGTCAAGTGTAAACGGTAAGTATATCAAACAGTTTGTAAAAACACAAAGGATTGTTTTGAAAAATTAGGTAATAAAAGGAATGGAGGAGTAATGGGAACACATGCATTTTGCCAGAGGTGACTGGAGGTAAGAGAACCTACCGGAGAAGCTCAAGTTCCGTCCTCATTTCAGCTATGCAGTTATGCTGTAAATCTTCAGCACTAAGAATGGCATAACCACAACCATTCGGGCACTCCCGACTTCGATGTTCACACGCTGCCAGATGGCTGTCCAGGTTTCTTCGCTCAAACTGAGCAGGGCAACCTAGTAGTCAGAAACAATACACTTAGGGGTCTATTTATAAACAATGTGAAGAGCCAATTGTCCTGCGAAACTCCATGCACCACTAGATGGAGCTGAGGAGCATTGGAAAGAAGTACTAATTTCATGTGCTCTTCGGCTCCATCTATTGGCCATAATGCGGTATTTTTCTGATATTCAACCTGGAAAGAAAATACAGATATTCCTCACTTTCCGACTTATCTGGTTTGCGACCACTCTCACTTACGATTGACCTCCGACCTTGCGTGTTAGCGTCAGTGCGACGTGTCGCCGGCGGAAGTGATGTCCTCCGTTCTTCACTGCGGGTCCCGGTAAGTATTTTATTGCCCGATGTACAGTACACTGTTCAGTACTGTACATGGGCTATACAGTACTGTACTAACGCAGTACAGTACTGTATATAGGTCCTTACTTAACGACCAATTCGTTTAACGACCTGGTCGTAGGAACGGAACTCGGTCGTTAAGTGAGGAATACCCGTATGCTAAGAATGTTTGTTTTTGCCTCCATTCACTTTTACAGGATGAATGACTCAAATTGTTTCTAAATACACCCCATAAAGGGTATCTAAATTCAAGAACAAAAATATTGCAGCTTACCAATCCTTAGATATGGTGGCTGCATTAGTTTTCTTCAATCGTTTTCGCTTTATTTTCACCTGGTGATCCTGCCAGCAACATACTTCCTGTCCTAAGGTGACAACACTTACTCACTGTACTATATCTATGGAGTAGCAGTGTTGCCATTCTAAACACAGAAAGTGTTTTAGGACAACAGAAAATGTATCCCCTTCTTCATTTCCATAACATAAGGGGGAGTGTTCTGCACAGAATGCAGGGAAGAATGCTGACAACTGTTAACGGGCAGCACCAGGCAGAAAACACAGGAAGGAAGTTACCAGCTTACTGGATTTCTGGCAGGATCAACAGGCTTTTTTTTGATGAACAGATATAACACAATGCTTCCAATGGTACAATTAACAGAACAGGGAGCAAATCAGAAAAGTTCATTGTTAGGGTCTACTTACATTTTAAAGAATGCTAACTACTTTTTGCATCTATATTAAACATCTAACATATTGAAATGTAATTTCCGAAAAGCAACAAAGTCTTTCTGTAAGAAAAAGCAACCAATGATGCTGTGCGTCAACAGAATCCTATCAACCGATCATGCAGTAGGTCAAGAGAATCCTATCAACCAATGACACTGTGGGTCTACAGCGCCCTATCAACCAATGACGCTGTGGGTCTACAGCACCTTATCAACCAATGACGCTGTGGGTCTACAGCGCCCTATCAACCAATGACACTGGGGGTCTACAGCGCCCTATCAACCAATGACACTGTGGGTCTACAGCACCTTATCAACCAATGGCGCTGTGGGTCTACAGCACCTTATCAACCAATGACGCTGTGGGTCTACAGTACCCTATCAACCAATGACACTGGGAGTCAACAGCATCCTATCAACTAATGACACTGTGGGTCTACAGCACCTTATCAACCAATGACACTGTGGGTCTACAGCACCCTATCAACCAATGACACTGGGAGTCTACAGCACCCTATCAACCAATGACACTGGGTCAACACAATCCCATCAACCGATGATGCCGTGGGTCAACACAATCCCATCAACCGATGATGCCGGGGGTCAACACAATCCCATCAACCGATGACACTGTGTGGCTACAGCACCCTATCAACCAATGAGACTGTGGGTCTACTGTGCCCCAGCAACCAATAACACTGTGGGTCAACAGAATCCTATCAACCGATGACAGTGTGGGTCTACAGCGCCCTATCAACCAATGACACTGTGGGTCTAATGTGCCCTAGCAACCAATGACACTGTGGGTCTAATGTGCCCTAGCAACCAATGACACTGTGGGTCTAATGTGCCCTAGCAACCAATGACACTGGGAGCCAACAGCATTTTAACAACCAAGAATGCTGTGGGCCGACAGCGTCCTAGCAACCTATGGCACTGTGGGCTGACAAAGTTTTAGCAACCAATGGCCTCAATAATCATCTAGCAGTACAGTGACAAAAATCACATTTCTCCATGTCAGGTTTAGAAGGCTTATTGGAAATCAGCACACCAATAAGCCGTGATATACACTTTAACAGCATAGACACTCACCAGCGTTTATACAGGACATGCGTCCATATTCACACTCTATCTCATGCCTGTCTATAGATTCCAGGGAACAAACCATACTGCAGCCGCTCCGGAAGTTCTTACACTGGATTTGAAGTCGGTTTAGATCATTTCTCATATACCTGTGTTAAAACAAATCACAGTGAACATGTTCTTAATTAAAATGCTTAGTTCTTGCTGGACATGTAAAGCAGTACTCATATAGTGAAATATGATGTAATAATAGATGGATATGAATTGTTCTACTTGAGGATTTGTCATTCTGTTCGGTTGGTATTGTATGTACAGTCCGGGTTTAGGATTCTATCGGCATATCTCCCAACTGTCCCTCAATTGAAGGGACTGTCCCTCTTTTGGAACCAAATCTCTTTCTTTTGTATCCTTTGTCTGCATACTTTGTGCAACAATATGTCCCTCACACATTTCAGAAAGTTGGAAGGAATGTCCTCAGGGATTGATTTGAAGGTATTTGCAGGCACCACAAGACATGTGTACTGTTGGCTGCATGGGGACTGGTACAGCTCCCTTGACACAGTTCTTCTAACTCCAAAACTTTCAAGTTCAAAATATTCATTGTAATACCAGAGCCTATTATAGAAATTAATCTTGGGCCTGCAATTCTTTCTGGACCTTGATCCAACCCTGTTCTTACTGAGAGATGTTTCTTGCCATTTAAGTATTGCCAACTTCATATATGAATATATGTAGGTCAACCCCCTGGTGGTGACCTATATCTTCCTAATAGACATGTGCGATTCGTTTCGTTCCGAATCGAAATTCGGACGAATTTTCGTAAATTCGGACATTCGGATGTATCCGAATTCCGAATTACAGACATAACGAATGCAAACGAATCCGAATTTCCATTTCCGAAATTCGGTAGCGTTAGTACGAACGTTCGTTTCGTTTTCTGTTCTTATTCGTTTCTTATTCGTTTCGTTCGTTGGAGCAAAGTGACATTAGAGAAGGAGAAAAATATTTTTTCCCCCTCAAATGTCACTTTTGCTGCAAACGAACGAAACGAATAAGAAACGAATAAGAAACGAATAAGAACAGAAAACGAAACGAACGTTCGTGCGAACGCTACCGAATTTCGTCCGAATCCGAATTCCGAATCCGAATTGACTTTCACACCCGAATCCCGAAAAACGAAATAACACAAATCCGAATTTAAAACGAAACAAATTTTTTGGCAGTGCACATGTCTACTTCCTAATGACCCACGCCTGTTAACCACTTCCTGCGTGTGGCCATACATATACGGCTGGCCACTGAACTGGTTGTACCATGAACATGGCTGCTGCTGCAGCCATGTTCTTGGTACCATTGTAAACTCTGTCCCCCGTGTGGCCCTGGGACCAGCACGGCGGATCTCCCTGCATTGATTGGAGAGAACCCTGTTATCATAGAAGGCAGTGTTAATTAGAAATATTGTTTGCATCAGAGCTCAACTTCTGGTGATAATCTTGAATAACATATAAGTTATATGCAGGGGGTGCTGGAGATTGTGTAAGGCTAACTTACACAACTCCAACTTGGCATTTTGAAACACTTTACAGTTGCAGGGCAAATCATTACATCTAGAACCTCCATAAAAGAAGAAGGTAGAAATTGTAATAACATCTTATGTTACTAACTCTCATGCTTATTATTGTCATGTTACATATGTTCATTTTTTTAAAATAAATTGACATGTTTTCTATTACATTCATTGCTCTTGTTCAATAAAAAAACAAAATAAAGTCTTGGGTTACATAAACAGTAAAGGGTCTGCTTTGCACGCACATTTGTTCTGTGCGAGTTCACCAGCTATTGTGAGAATTGGGCAAAAACAAATGTTGTTAGTGTCATTTTTCTTCTGGTTGATTGTTCTTTTATATTCAGAGTTTTTTTTATGTGTGAAGGTCCACTTTAAGATGGTCATATTGAAAGAACATTCTATGGCTCGCTATTATCATCTTCCATGATTCTCTGTTTCAGCAACTGTTCCCAAGCATGTTCATACCATACTCTGATTTCCCTTCATGTATCTTAGTTGTTCAGGTCACATTCCTTTTATTGTCCTGGTAAGACAACATAACTCCAGAAAGTCCTGCAAGGTGGAAAGGACTACAACATGTTTTGCTCCTTACAACGGAGGTTTTAACATCTAACATTCCTAGTCTGTCCCTGATTTGTGGTTAACTAGTGCCATTCAGTTAACAGGACTCTCTTTCAATCCTTTCCCGCAAGAACAGAATGGCTGAGGGGTTTATTGGCTTTGCTGTGGACAATAGACCTCAGTAGACACTATTTGGGTTACATTCATGTCATTTTGAACACTCACCCACTAGCCATCCTATGAAAACAGAATTAATTAGTGCTCTTAGCAAACCCACAGCTAAGCAACACACACTGGCATTCCAAATGTAGTGTGGGCTAAATTCCTTGTCATGGTGCACAAACCCTGTTATTTACATATAAAATTTAGACATCACCTAAAACTCGGCAATGACACAATCATACAATGTATAAGCAATTCTTAAAGTGCAGCTCTAGACAAAACTATTTTTTTTTTTGTGCATAGAGCAGGTAAGGATTAAAACCTCTGCTTGTGTTTTACTGCTATCTGGGACCCCATTAGCTAAACTCCAGACACAAAAACTTTCGTTCAAATATATTCTTTAATAGTACACTGTGAACATACTTATGGAGGGGGGGCAGCACAAAGATGACCTCATCATATATATCCATGACCTCATCATATAAAACCACTTAGTGTGCACCAAATGCCTTTGCCAACTCAGTTGTTGCATTGTAAAAGTAGCGGTGAAATCATCACTGTCCTATGCATAACTTGTGTCCTATACAACAACAATCTTCCCGTATGACATGCTAAAAAAAACAACAATCTTCCCGTAAGATTATATGTTCAGATAACATATTTTATGCATGTTAATTGCCTGTAAAAGCATTCCTTGACATCAAACCCTGAGACTGTGTAGGAATGCCGCTATCTTGGATGCTGCTGGGCACCGACATATTGGACGTGATGTCAGAAGACAGACCTGTCATTCAACTGATATTTTATAGTACTTACCTTTGTTCCTTCCCTGGCAGCTACATAAAAGTTGAGTGGTATTGGAGCTAGGCCTGCACAGACAGTAATTAGACCCTCCCCGCAGAGAAGAGAGCTATGACATGCATGGAGGAAATTGGCTCTTCTAGGGAATTAACTTTAAAAAAAAAATCACATTTGCTAGCAAGTTGAAAACACATTGCAAGTGAGTTAAAAATCCCCTTACCCACTATTCATTGATGTCAGCATTTTTTGCCATTGTGGGAGCCCAGAGAAGCACTACAAAGTCGTTACTAAAAATGAAGGGCATAATTGGCAACATTAAGGTTGGTGTGAAGATAAACTCGGCAAGTGAAGGGATGTATGAAGAATCAATATAAACTGAATGCTGTGTGTGCCAAGGGGCTACGCGTTTCGAGGAGATCCTCTTTCTCAAGCTCAAATAGAAAGGTTAGTGACTAACCACTAAGTTAGAACCTCGGCTCCTCAAGTAAGTCCTCAATCCTTTGTTTTTGATGAATTTTTGTTCTCTCCACCCGTCACACTTAGCACTGTTTCTTCCTATACCCTCCACACTCCCAGGATTTGCGCTCTTATTGCCTCTTTTTTAAGTTCACAGGTTTCTCCCCCTGTTCTTAGAGCATCCATATCTATTGCACCTACACAGACCCCCACATTTCCAAGAGAGCGCTGTGTCTTTTTTCCGTTTGTGAAGATCAACTGTATCCTATACATGTTCTCTACTTGCCAGTCGGCAGTTACGTAAAACATACCTTCTTATTCTATTGGCCTCTCTCACACATCTACTCTGGAATGATAGGGCTGCTTTTTAGCCTCAGTCCAGTCTGAACTGAAAAATTTACTCCATTTACCTGTGTAACGGTCTCAGTTCAGAAACAGTCAGCATCTGTCTGTCTTCAGGGCAGTTGTTGTGGTGAACGAGCCATCCATGTATGCAGGCCGCGCAGAATGCATGCTCACAGGGTGCTTGTAAAGGATCTTCTAGTACATCCCGGCAAATACAACACAGGAGACCATCATTCACATATCCCAGGAAACGCTCAATATCGTAACCCATAGCTGTCTGAAAGGAAAATGACTTAAAGCACCGAGCAGCTATACAGAAATCACAGTTCTCTACCCTCCTATTTGTTTGTTTCATGAATAGGCAAAACTTTTCTTTTAGTTTGAGATGGAGTGAGGAAGCATTCCAACCAATGTTACGTTTTTACTGCTTTTTGCCTTTCCATGGTGGATGGATTAAGGTGTCTGCTCTACCCGTATGGATATAAATGTTGGGGGACACTCATCAGAACTGAAGAAGTGGTTTGAATATGCAAATTATACATCTCCGACATTACAGAACAAGTCAGACTGAATGTGACAAACTACTACCATCTACTCTGGATACTATATATTCCATCTTTATTTGTACATCAGGGGCATGTAAATGAATGAAAGGCAGTTTAGCAAAACAGAAGTAACTTGTTTGTACTCAGGGAATGTAAACTGAACACAATAGAAAAAGCTCAAAATAGCGCCAGCTTTATCATGTTTAGGCGCATTAGTTACCTGATTTCTGCGATTCGTCCAATCCTGATGAACAAATACAGCTCTCTCCATTTCTACATCTTCAGTCATTTCCTGTATATCCCCTAAAGGCTAATTGTCTTGTGGCAAAGCATGATAATTAACATTAGAGCTGCCCCTTCTACTATGAAATCTGTTTTTTGGTAACACTTACCCAGAGGCAGCAGAACAAGGCAGAAATGCTGAAGTGAGTTTGGAGAATGAGTTCCAGCAATGTTCAACTGATGTGTCCTCCCGGAGTTTTATTCCCTTTCTTCATTGTAATGACAAAGAAAGAGATTCGCCTCTTGGGTTTCCTAAGAGACAGCTCTCCAGTGTTCACAGTCACCAGTCCAGCTAAGTAAACAATACGCCACTCTTCACTTGGAAAACCAATCCCTGGATGGTAAAATACTAAACTTAGTATATAGTAAAGAAAGAACAATCTCCATTAATATATACAGTACATATAACTTTGCACACAAGTGCTAGAATATTGTCTAATAACCAAGCTCTTTGATTTGATTTTTAATGAATACATTTTATTTTAAAACAATGACATATTCTCCTGTACTTTTCATAGACAATCATACCCTTCATGTCATGCTCTGCTCCTGTGAGACTTACACTATTGAAGGAAACACATACAGCATTAAAGTGACCCTAAACTCAGGAGTTCAATCTTAAAAATTCATTCAAGTACCTTAAAGTGACCTTAAACCCTCAGATTTTTTAATTAATGGTTGCCTTACTGTAATCCATGGTAGTTTCCCTTCTCTTTGCTGCTCTTCCTTTTAAATCTGTATCTCTTCTCATGCTGGGCAGAACTTCTGTTTTGCAGCAGACTTCCTTGTCTCAGGAATGGATACATGGTGTCTGTGTGTACGTTTGCAACCTGAGCCAGCACTACAGGAAGAGGCACTCAGCTGCAAAGGGAAGTTCTCCCCAAGCATGAGAAGACATGAGGATTTAAAAGGAAGAGCAGGAAAGAGAAGGGAAACAACCATGGATTACAGTAAGGCGCACATTACAGTATTGGTTTATGTTAAAAAATCTGAGGGTTTAATGTCACTTTAACTGTTAACAAAAATGTATCTTATTTGTGTATCACTCAGCTGTAGATCCTCAAATCATCTCTGAATTGGTGCGGACACTGTCCTTCCTTCTGGAGGGTGGCTACTTTTGTTCCCCATGGTCCCTGTGTGTGTTGTAAAGTAGTCACCGCTCCAAGCTCACTCCTGTGATGGACTACAATCTCAGTACAACATAGTAAACTAAACATGAGATTGTAGTCCATCACGGGAGCGAGCTTGGAGCGTTGGCTACTTTACAATACTAACAGTATACAGTGTGATAATGTGACTGAAATGTTACAGTTGTGAATAAAACATCAATACAGTGCAATATTTTGGATGAAGGAACAATGGCTTGTGTTCTCTAATTTCTTTTTAATAATCACGTGTAATAATAATAATAATTAATAATCATCAGCTCCCTTGTCAACTCATCCTATACTGGCCTCCAGGACTTCTCTAGAGTCCCTCCCATCCTCTGGAACTCTTTACCCCAACCTGTCCGTCTATCTCCCACCATCTCAATAAAGTTGGGACAGGTCCATGTTTCCTCGGTGTAGCATCCCAACCAACACTTTGTAAGTGTCTGGGAACTGAGGAGACCAGTTGCTGGAGTTTTGGGAGAGGAATGTTGTCCCCTTCTTGCCTGATATATGATTCTAACTGCTTAAGGCCCCATTCACACTAAGCGACTTACATTTTGCAGTGTGAATGGGGCCTTAAGCAGTTAGAATCCTATATCAGGCAAGAAGGGGACAACATTCCTCTCCCAAAACTCCAGCAACTGGTCTCCTCAGTTCCCAGACACTTACAAAGTGTTGGTTGGGATGCTACACAGAGGAAACATGGACCTGTCCCAACTTTATTGAGATGTGTTGCTGCCATCAATTTCAAAATCACCTTATTTCTTTCTTTCTTCAAATGGTACATTTTCTGAGCTTAAACATTTGATATGTTTCTAATTGTGAATAAAATAGGAGTATATGAGATTTGCAAATCATTACTTTCTGTTTTTCTGTAGATTTTACATAGCGTCCCAACATCTTTGTAATTGGGGTTGTATCTAGATGTGTGTTGTGATGGTTGGGGGTCATAACCAATGTTGTGCTATTATTTCTCTGTACATGTATAGTGTCCAACATGCTGCTAATTCCTGGTAAGGGTCTTCAAGAGGGAGATCCAAAACCCCTCAAACCCCCGTCTTTGGTTTAGGAGAGCAATGAAGATGAAGAGTTCTGTTAATAATATTGCACACACAACATGTGGATGGATCCCCCTGTCCTGAAGTACTCAGGTGCTTCAATCCCTAAGCGGACCCAGGCCTGATATCCATTTTTCTTTGCTCAAAGAAGAGCTCCGGGCATATGCAATGTTACCCCTTGCACTGAGGCTACAGAGCTAAAATAACAAAATGAGTATAACTTGAACCTCAGACCAGCTGGCTGCTAGACTGGTCCTCACAGCCTCTTTCCCCTCCACTTTGGAATAGGAATGTCCCTCAGTGTCCTCACATTCACTACACGGTATTGGACATGATGGTGTCATGGGTTTTTAGACCTCCAGAGCATTGATCAAGGAACCTCCTGCCGTTTTCTTTTGTATTCTGACAGCGTAGCCCGGCTGCTGCCAGAATCCCCGAACAGAGCTGGCAGCTCATTGGCTACTAGCTATGTTCGGCCACAATTTTCCGGCATGTCTCTTTGATCAGCTGATCGAGCGATGACGGTTGGAAAGGTGCTGACAGTGGCATCAACCAGCCAAATTTCGAAGCTGTATACGCAGCTTGACGCTGGCCTCTTATCAAATGCACCCTTACATGAGCAAAGCTCAGCAAACACAAATATCCGCACACCCTCAAAGCGGAGACCAACATAGGAGCACAGAACCAAATTGTATTCAATGTTCTAAAGAAATCTTTAATAGGTGTTGCACACAGTGCTATGTACCCGGGACCCGCACACATTTCCGGCGGCCCGTCTCCTAGCAACCACATACGCTCTCCTCTCTTACCCATTTGCCTCTTCGGAGCCCCACCCAGCTCGTTTTCTCCCCGCCTCCGGACCCGCCCCCTTCATTGGGCGCTCATCTGCAATGTGCTTCTGCCTGTTCGCGCGGCTACAGGAGGAGTGGGCGGAGCCGGGGCTTAGTGGTCATCAATGAGCTGGCGCCAGGTCAGGAGACGAGAAGCGGCGGGAACTGGCTGTTAAGAAAGTAATGGTGGGGGTGTCCGGGGTTATATGGGTACGAGGGGGCAGGGGAGGGCTCCGGTGTGGCGGCGTTCCCACGTGATACACACGGGCTGCTATTAGATGTTGCCGCTGGCAACCACTCAGATCCCGCTGCTGATGGGTGCTGTTGCCACTGGCAACCAATAAAATCCCCTTGTTACCTTGTGGTACATACAGCACATAATCAGGCTGTGATTGGGTTTCTATAGACGTGTATGAACTCAATGGTACATGTGCTTTTATTTATGTGTGCACCTATTGTGACTGGAGAGAGATGGACACTGATCTATATACTGACATATAGATATAATTTATAATAGTTCACTCTGATGTGTACGAGGTGCTACAGAGCCATAGCTAGCTTCTTTTGTGCCCGAGGATGTGTTTTGAAAAAAAAAAAAAGAAATTGACACTGGGGAATTTATCAAAACTGGAGCAGTTGCCAATGGCAACCAATCAGCTTCTCTCTTCAGTTAGGTAAGATAAGATTTAAAAATGAGACAGAGAAGCTGATTGGTTGCCATGCACAGCTGCTCTAATTTTGATAAATTCCCCCCAGTGACCTCAATCTCTTTTTCTGCAGCCTCAGCACTGAATGAATGTAATCCAGTTATAAAGGGATAGAAGCCTCTGTACTGAGTGCTACTCCCCATTCAGAAACTCATGAATGAACAGGAAGTGAAGTAAAGCACTTCCTATTCATTGCAGTTATTTACAAACATTGAAATGATCAGCTGATCACTCTGGTGTTTGCTCTGCACAAAGAGGATCGGTAAATATTAGGGTTGCACAGATACCAAGTACAGTACTCGGTACAAGTACATGTACCGATACTTTGGAGCGCCAAGACTACACTAGAGAAAAATTCAAAAGTTAGGAGGCAGCTGTCATTTGTAAGGAGCACAGGGAGCTCCTGGAATTTGTACATCTCTGTTTTAATGTACGATTTTGTTTTTATAAATATAAATAAAGGGATGCACAGATACCAGTTTTACGAGTACTGATACTTGCCGAGTACTTACAAGTACTAATACATTTCTGTTTATTCTCATGCAATGGTTTTTCTAAAACAATACAGACTAATGATTTCAGGACAGTGGTGGAGGGCCAGAGCCAGGTCCCAGCTGCAACCACTGCGACCCTGGTAGTTCTCAGGAAAATGCCAAGTATCTGCACTGGTACTCGAAAAGTATCTGTGCATCCCTAGT